ATTATTATTAATTATTATTATTTTTATTTTTTTTGTTTTTTTGTTTTTTTTATATACTTAATCAGTTGCAATTTTCACTTTATTCGAGAAAGGTCACTGGGCATTGCTGTCCCACTGAATAAAAAATGGAAAGAAAAAAAATTGTGCACATCCGTTTGCTACTCAACTTTAGTTATTTTATTCCCGAATTAAACTATTTTTAAGATTCATGACCTGTGATGGAGCTGAAACTAGCAGCCAAATCGTAATAGAGAAAAAAACTTGAAATACCTAATTCCACCGTAAGGACCCTTAAGACTCAGGCTAGGTACTTTTCAAACTAAGTAAAACAAGAGATGCCTGTCTAAGTTAAAAAGGTGCACCCAAACTAGAATTTGTCCTTACCTCAACGGAATCCCTCTCTTCGGCGTCAGCGATGGCTTCGTCGGCGATGGCCGGCGTCCGGGTGATTTTCAGCTGCTGAGAGGTGGTCGTGGCTGTTGCACCTGCGGTCGACGGTGTCGATGGCGAGGGGAGTATCGGGCTCGCAGCCGCGCTGCGCACGCAAAGGTAGCATTCCCCGAGGCGTAAAGACGAGGCCTCCAATTCGCCGAGCCTGAGGACTAGTCCGTGTCCACCGAGGGTCAGCGGCCAGCCCACGGGCGTTACGAGCTCGTTGCCCTGGAAGAATCATAGAAATTCTAAGATGATTTATGTGGGCCATTGTAACGGTTTTGTTTATTTATTTATTATTTTTTTTTTTTATTATCTCATTGAGGAAAGTCATTTTTGGTTTGTACTCGTGGTATTCAGAAAAGGTTTTGGAGCTGCTGATGCATGTGAAATAACGTGTCTTCAACTCGAAACTTGCAACTTTTTTATGCTTATCTCACTGACAACACAACAACAGCCCTTCTGGTGGTGTTGGTGACGTTGGACACTAGTTAGTAGACTCAAAAAGAAATAACCAGAAAATGTTGTAGCATATACATGTCTCTGATCCTCAAGTATCCATGATAAATTAGTCCTAAATGTAAGAGGTACTACCGATTTCAGGAAAAGAAACCTTGACACCCTGCCCCTCTGGTATATAGTATTAGTACATTTAACAACAGTAATAAAAGTAGTGTTTATGTGAGACATTTGACCCTGTGGTTCATATAGACTCAGAAAGAAACTTAGAATCATCGATGTACCTCGTATTCCAATGTATATCGTCTTTAGTTTAGTGATACAAGCAAAATAAATGAAAAAATTCAGCTGTGGGGACATTGTCGATTGTCATCGTAAGTTATTGACACGCAAGGGCAAAACGTTGAAAATCAACATATTTAGATTGAAACCGGCGGTGGTGCACCTGCCGTAACAATAATTACACCACTCGGAGTTTGCCCACAAAAATTCTTGAATTTTTCGGAAGTAACGCACGCGCGCCCAAGCTGATTTCGGCAAGGAGAGGACCAGCCCCGCAATTGGCCCATTATATCAGCCGATCCGATCTTATTATCGCGCATGATCCAATTATGAGGGCCCGATCATCTCGCTACACGCTTTTCGGCTCACGGAATATTTACGACGCCACATATTAAACCGTATGGCGCATCAACGCGGAATCCCGACCGTAAAGTTAAGGATCGTTAAGCCCCACTTTTTTTGCCCCGAGACGGAGAATGAAGTACGGGGGAGATGATTTATCAAACGATCCGACGATCGTTGAACGCAGTTTTTGAAAAATTGTCGAGTTTCGTGCCTGTACGATCGGTATCGATCTTTCCTTTGAAACATCGCCGTTTTCCAAAGACAAAAGTTAAAAAAAATAACACTTTGGAAAGCACAGTGGAGACTCGCGTAATCCAGCCCCGAGCGAGTGGGACTTTCGCCGGCGTTCGCAAAATTGAGTTAACAAAACCGATAGTCGGGCGCCGAGCAAAACCTCCGACCGGCCGGCCTTTCATTCGAGGTTTCGGACGCACAGGGTGTAAGCTTATGCACGCTGAATCGGATGAAAAAAAGTTTCCGGTGTGTAGGAATGCAAGCCTGTCACTGCGTTGTTCCGAATGCGTATGTAACAGGTCCGAGAGAGCGTGCGCACTCGTGGAATGAACGGAGGTCCCCGTTTGAAAAATCGGCGGGCATCTCTCGCGCGGGTGAAATTCGCAGCGCTTATTTGCAGGCTCTCGATGTGATTTACCGGTTTTCGGCTTAGGCACAAGTGAAAATACGTGTTTTCGCTGCTGGCGAGGTAAGAGAAAGACAACGGGGAGTGATTGTTGTTGGTGTTTTTTTTGTTGTTGCTTTTTTCCAAGTTTCTCGAAGGACGGACTCGAGAAAATGCGTTTGCGATCGGTTGGTAGCTCGATCGGGAGGAATATATTTCACGATGGTGCGAGGATCAATGCAATGGAGTATTACTTCTCTTACTCGTAATCATAATGATAATGCAACTATAAAAAAAAAAAAAAAAAAAGTACAACATAATCAGTAATGTTGTGGAGCTTGGGTGATAAGTTTCCTTGTTAATTTATCTCACGGCGCCCAAGGTAAGTACTTATAGCGACGCAAAAAACGAAATCTTGAATGGCGCAGCTATATTTAGAGACGCGTTTGAAAAAAAAAAAAAAAAAAGCTTTCGCACTGCATGACTCACGTTTTTTCAATGCATTTCCCCTCCCAATTCAAAAAAAAAAAAAAAAAAAAACCACAACTTCTCGAAGAGAGCACGGCATTGCTGTAAGTATACACACAGCTGTTGTTACAAAAAGCGACAGTAGCAGCGGTAGGTGGTGTACTTATTATCCAAATATATATATATACTCATACGTACTACGAGAGAGAAAAATACAAAAAGCAACGACTCATTCTTATATTTCTTCCTCGGCTCGTAAGTATATACTACTAACGTATCGAGACTCAGGCGCGCGCATTATAATGGCCTGCGGGTTTGCTCGCGAGACGTTCCGGACCTGAGGTATACAACGCGCTGTCGTTCCTGTATGTGATGTATGTATACGGCCACATTGAATCCAAACCGTGTATATATACGTACGAAATTGGGAACGGGGACGCGAGGCGAAAGCGCCGGAGGAAACTTTCTTTCTCTCCTTCGTTTTTTCCTCGATCCTCCTCCTCCTCCTCCTCCTCCTCTTGAACCTCAACTGTTACTGTGCTTGTACATCGTACGAGCTCGTGTGTGGGTGCAGTAAGTATGCATCGGACGCGTCCGTTGGGGCATTACCTGCGGATGAGAGACAGTGAGAAAGGTTGCTCTTGTGGGTAATTTATGATTGTGCTCCCTCTCTCTCTCCCCTTCGTACATGTACTTGGGCTTATTATTATTATTATTACTGCTGATTTTCATTTGATAGGTTTCACGTATACCCTTTTTCTTCTGACGTTACGGGATTGTTTTGGAAGCCACGGTTGTTGTCTTTTCATTTTTTTTTCCATTATAATAGCCTTTTCAGGGTGTGGAATTTTTTTTCCATGCTGTAGACTCCATTAAAAAGTTGGGATTGAGGGTGATTAATCATCACGAGACTTGAATTAATGATGCATCTTGACGGTCATTTCAAAAAAAAAAAACAAACGTCATCGTTATCACGTTCGTGTAAAAACTCGTGTCAACATGGAGCGAAACTTTCTTATGTTTAATCAGTATAAGCATTACGTTATTTAAAACTATTATTGTATCTATTGTTTTAATGAATTGAATACTTAAATACCGATCATTAGTAATCATAAATACCTATTATTATCGTCTAAGTGATGTTATCAATGTTTGACCGGTTTCTTGAGAATTTCGTTGTTTGATAATTACAAAAATTTCGATTCGGATAAGATAACATCCTCAACTAAACATTCAAAAAAAGCTTACTAGTGAGACTCGATATATTATGCTGGGATCAGAGATTATGGCTGATTTTTAAGCTCAAGTTTGCCTAAATAATTATTTTTAAAAATCAACCAAATGAGAACAAATTCGATCCTTGTAACTTATACTTACCTACGTGGGAAAGCTCTCTTTTTTACATTGTTGATCTTCAATGAGCCTCTGGTGGAGTAAAGTATGTCAGAAATAAACTATTTTTTCAAACATTCGAAATATTTATACCTGAAAATCCATGACAAGTTCAAAACGAGAATAAATATTAAATATTTACACGGTATCACTTGAAAGTGGTATTTTCCGATCTACCCATTATTGTTGGCGTAATTCACTTTCCGAGCTGTCAGAAAGAGACCTCTGTGTCATTGTTTCTGCACAACCGCAGTCCAAACAGTAGAGGAAAAATGTCCTCATTGAAAAATGTGTTTCACAAAACAATTTTTTAAAGCCTTGAAATAGCCGATCTCGTCGAGATGTACAAGCACGCGATACTCCTTGGGTCCTCTCGACCCAGCACCGAAAAAATGCCCGATAACGGCCGAGACAGTAATTTAAGTCCATAAAAATAAATCAAGAGGCCCCCAGTGAGAAAGAAAGAGAAGCCAAACGAAGGGGAACGCGGAATAACGGTTGTCCCTCCGCACCCAGCAAAAGATTGAGAAAAAAAAAAAAAAAGACTGTACGACACGTTCGTGCGGATTCGAGGAGAGTGTATACTCACCGAGCTTTTACATAAATTACAAGCGGACCTTAAAAGTAAAGCGCTAGAGACGACAGTCGTTTGGCCGATGGCTTTGAAGGCACCGCGAAGCACTAATGTATGCCCGTCGCTAAAACTATTACGAACCTCCATCGTGACAAACCCATACACACAAAAAAAAAAAAAAAAAAA